ATCTGCTGTTGCTATACAATAGTCTACTACAGTTGCATCTTTACAAGATAACAATCCAGTGGTTTTGTCTTCGCCGAACCTTCCGTTAGCGATGAACAAGCTCGCGTTTCTACATACGTCTAACAGTTCATATCCATGTGAGTTTATTGAACGGTCTATTGATATTCTCACTAAAACTCCAGCGTACTTAAGTAGGTTCACGGACTGGAACATGCTACCGTCTATGTCTCGTGTGATAAAATCATCCATTTCTACATAATCGGTTAAGTCTCTGGTTCGTGCATTCAGGTTCCCAGCAAAACACACACACGCGCGCATCTGGTTAGACTACACATAGTAATGATGTCACGTTCAAACTCAGGAAAGTGTTCATCGAAGTATAAGGTCTTCTTCAAGTCGTAGTATATATGTGTCCACTTATCTTACGACAAAGTTAGATATCGTTAGTTGGTGGTAGGATCGTAACGCTGTTGTTTAACCGTTTATTGGCTTCTATCATGATGCCACCAGAGACACGCTTTCTCCCATCATTCCGGCGTTGTCCTAGGCGACGTTGTCGTTGTCGTGGCTGGGTCTGGAGTCATTGTCGTCACTATGCACGTCAAAGGATTCGATGTCCACATTAAAAAAGTAGATATGTGCTCACAAAAATCCGGATTCAAAAGTCTAGTACGTATGCAACAGACATTAATGGTAAGGACTTTAAGCTTACATTGGTGTGCTGTGTGTTCGGCGTTGTCCTAGGCGGCGTTGTCGTTGTCGTGGCTGGGTCTGGTGTCCAGGGCCCGTTTCACAAAGCTCTCGTAGCGCTACGACTATCGTAAGTCAATGTTACAGTATGGGAGGTAGGAATGATACGAGAAATGTTACGAGATCTTTGGCTTACGAGAGCTTTGTGAAACGGGGCCCTGGGTCTGGTGTCGCTCATCTGTCGCGTTGTGGTGGTACATTTAGGGTGGTACATTTGGAGCTGGGCACAGCTTTACCTGGGGTGTAAAGTTGCCCGTTGATGGACTATCTGTCGACTGTTAGCACGGTTCTGTCACCAGCCTGATATGCTGCTCTTCGAACTGACTGGGTACAGAACCGTTCTGCGCTCCTCTGCTTCCTTAGGACATTTTTCGTTAACATAAAAGCTGGTACTTTTCAGGTGCTCAAATGACGCCTGTCTCTCTGTAATTTGGAAGTTTGGCCACAATTAGTCTTGGTCTTCTCTTACGTTCAACGTCATTACGAGGGGGTCCAATCCTGTGGACTCTGACAAGATGAACATTCTTTACGTTATCACAGAGAAAATCAGACAATATCTTCTTACGTTTGTTTCTTCATTCAACCCCATGAAAACGAGGTTGTCCCTCATTGATCTTTCCTGGATATCGAGGATGCTCTCCTTCATATTGTTGATGTCTGCCTCGCTGATCTTTGTATTCAGCTCCTCAATCTTTTTGACTCCATTTCTTCTCTCCATTTCTTTGAACTTCTCTTACTGGTAACTTGCTGCTGTTCTACATTACCAGTAATCTCTCTCACTGCTTGTAGCTCCTTTCCTATTGCGTCCCCTCTCCTAGTTATTCCTCTTATTTCTAATTTCTCGTCCATCTGTCTGATTACGAGGAAGTGATGATCTAACCAGGGAGGCTTTAGGTTACACTGGTATCGCCGCGGGGGCTGATGCGTGTATGGAGCGGTTGTAAACTGTCCTACAGAGAATCCAGTGTTGTACATTCCTGCAGATTTGGAACAGGAGGATGACTAGCTCGAACTTGACGTCCAAGATAGTTTCAAAGATGGTTGATAGGGTTCATATCAGGGCTCCTTGCTGGCCATGGGTCATGAGGACGTTGTTCTGCAAATGGGCGATGACGTGTAGACGACGGTGAGGTCGGCCTTGTCATCTATGAATAGCGGGCTGCTGTCAAGAGGATAGTTATCAAAATGTGGCACGACGACTGTATCCAGTCATGCATGCCGTTACCTTGTGTTTTCTAAAAGTCTACATCTGCCTTGTCAAGAAAACTTGATTTTCAATACCGACCTCCTTTAATTTAGTTCTTAAAACTGTTGTGCGCATACTGCTATTATAAACATTATATCCCAGTGTACAGGGCGTTATATGTGAACAAGCGACCCAGAGCTTTTATGATATTGTGAATTCAGTATTACATGTCACAGCAAAAATAATTTAGTTTCCGCTCTTGCGGAAACCTAATGGATACTGGGTAATGTAGGTTTCTGCTAGGTTTCAGCATCCGGAAACACTCAATGAGAGTTTCCGCATAGTTTACAAAACTGAAACGAATAAGTCTAGGTTTCCGTCATGTTTCTTCAACTGAAACTGTCATTATGAGTTTCCGTTTAGTTTCGATGTGCATTCCAATATGTATGTATGATCGTGTGTTTGGACAAACATTTTAGGAATGTCTCTTGGATTCAGGTGCTTAATTAATGCTTATGTGTATGCTTTGTTAAGGGTCTTCTACAATGGACTTGACTAGAAGATCCCTTTGTCTCGAGGTGTGACTTCACTTACACACAGAGTCTTGTAGATCTTGAAGATCTTGGTGATATACAATGGAAGAGCCCTTTGTTTAAAGGTAAGACTTCACACACTCACTCACTCACTCACTGCAGTGTCTTGTAGATCTTGAAGATCTTGTTGATATACAATGGACTTGACTAGTAGAGCCCTTTGTTTCCAGATAAGACTTCGCTAACTTACTCACACTGCAGAGTCTTGTAGATCTTGAAGATCTTGTTGATTCATGACTTTGTGTTTATAGTTTTAGACGACAATATTCTCAATTTATTATGATCACTGGCTTGTAAAACAATGCTCGTGCTGACCATTTTTTCACCAATTCATTTTCTTGCAACCTCTCACCCTTGCTTGTTTCTTTAATTCCGATTCCCTTAAAATGAAGTTGTTAAAAAACTACGTTTGGATTTGTCTTTGGTTCATATTGAACTGCCTGTCATTAACGACGCTTAAAATGCCGCTATGGTGTCATAGCACTGTTGCAATTTGATTTCCTGGAATGAATTGACAATATAACTACCTGCTTTCTACAATGCAGTTTTTACGCTTATGCCCTATAATTCTAAACACGTGCATTCTAAGCTGAACTTTCTTCTGACCACAACGATCAAATCGCACAAAACGCACGCGCAGTACAAATATACTGACAGTTTCAAATGCATCAGGTTTTGAAAGGTTATCATGTTTTATGCATTTATTGCTTGAAATGTCCGTGCAAAATATTTGCGTTGAATTTGTTGTCATGCATTAGACATTCATCAAGACGATGACTAGCTCGTGCATTATTTGTATCGAATATCAAGTAATGACCGTTATCCTTAACCGACCTGCATAAGGGATTAGTAAAGAGTTTACGTTTACATAAATAGAGATAAATATACGTGCATGTTTTGTTAGACTGATTTAACGAAAGGATGTCAGATATTTTCAATTTCCCGAGCAAGATTTCTCGCACGAGTTTCGTAAAACTAGTGGCAGGTGTGAGAATGTAATAATTTCTTTTTAACGCACCGTCTTTCAGGACCATCTGTTGACGTTGTTACGTCGTCAAGACCTGACGTCGAATTAGGATTCAAATGACGTCTGGATGACGTAAACAGTGCTTTGTTGTGGGTGAAGTGATATGTACAATATCACCCATACGGTTTGATTAACTCGGATATTTCTAAGCCCATGGGTAATAATAGGATTTATTTGATCATTATTCAGACAGATTATTTATCTCAGTCTTGGTTTCAGGTTGATCCTAATCCAGGGATAATATATCACATCAATCCAGCTGTAGGTGACAGCATGATGCAAGAGGACTGTGACACCCCTAATGTAATCGTTATAATACCTAACAAAGCATGAAACCCCCAACTGATATTACACTCTCTTGGCAACATTGAATATACACTTGCTGCTCCGTATTGCAAACTGATATTGACAACAAACGAGTGCCGTGATGAACAGGACTACCCGGTAATACCGGTATACCTTATACGATACGTATTGCAATATTTTTTCTGAGAACAGGTGTATTGGGTAAAGAATATATATGAAGTTTTTTGTGATTATCTTTATGGTTTAAATTAAAATCTACACAGATTTTCATTCACAACAAATGTTTTCCTTCGCTATTCAGTGACAAAACGGCATACTGTAATACTATAATCTGTATAAAAAGGAAAATGGACTCCCTCACTATTCAACATAATATTGAGATTGCTGTTATCAGAACCATAACATACATGTTTAGTGACTTATAATGTAGATAATAGAACTGACATGCACAAATAGTGTCACTCACTGTCAAACACTTAAGGTCCCAATATGTCGCAATACATATTGCAATATGGCTACCTGAATCGCAATATATTGCAATACAATTTATTTGCCAATACAGAGCCCTAGTGATGAATCTAAGGTAGCCTGGTGGTAAAGGCGTTCGCTCGTCATGCCAAAGACCTGGTAATGTCGGTAATATATAATCACTAAGACAGTAAATTGACTCTCCGGTTTGTCCTGGTGTACTCCCCTTATGCCGATCTCCAGGTTGGTCAACAGCAAGTGCCGTTTTTGTGAAGACCAAAGAACGACCTTCAGCTTTCCTATCAGACCTATCTACTACACCACGAAGGCTGTCTTCCCAGACAAACGAACTGTTTTGTATCATCAACTCCTTGGGGAGGGCACAAGATTTGGACTCGTGTAGATCAGAGTTAGAATTGGTCTTCAGCAGCCCATGCAAATAACGAGATGTGGTGGTCAGGCTCGCTGACTTGGTTGAAACATGTCACCGTATCCCAATTGCGTATATCGATGCTCATGCTGCTGGTCACTGGATTGCATGGTCCAGACTCGATTTTGTACAGACCGCCACATAGCTGGAATATTGCTGAGTGTGGCGTTTAAAAACAAACAAACTAAAGCACAAGATATGGACTTCATCAGCCCAACATAATAAAAGAGGAAGAATAGAATCGATTATATATTTATTCGACGAGTATACAAATGTACAAAATATTATGCAATAATACAAGTATTATTATACAGAGAATATGTACAAATCGTTTTAAGGATTGAAAACAAATGTCTAAAACGGGTCTTTCATAATCGACTTTATAAATATGCCACGCTTGTTACACATTACTGCACAGCATTCACATTACTCAAACATACAGGATTTCCAGTCGGGGAAAAAACCCGTTTTAGACTCAGTAAACGCTCTGTTTTTATATTTTCGTTAAGTTCGTTATTTTTTAGCATTTAAGGATATAACGATTGGCATGTTCTCCTACAATGTGAGTTAGCCGAACTCAGTGGAAAGTGACGTTTCCTTACAACCACACACGGAAAACCTCCAGGGACAAGGTGTTTGTATTGTGTTCCTTGCTTGAAACACGTGGGCCGCACATGTGACATTGATATCTATGAATGTCTTAACAATACAAATGGAATTCTATTTACATACATAATTAATAAGTCTCAGAAATAAAACAGTATGTACAAGGTGGAGAATCAAGGGGAACAATAACAAATACGTGACATGCATGCTTACTGCATGTATTATATTACCCATGTCCGTTATACGTGTCCACAGAAAGCAGATACAGTGAAACCTCGGTAATCCGGACACAATCATGTCCAGTATATTGTCTGGATGAGTACATGTACGGATAAACGAATCATTGGACATCTTAATGTTCCTTCTATTACAGGTGGTAACAATAGTTCGGATAAAAGAGTTTCGGGAATAAGAAGGTTTCACTGCATATCCACCAGATACGATAATGAAATATGCATTATAAGACTAGGGATTTTAGCTTTAATACATTTACTTCACTTATTTAGTTTATATTGCAGCTAAGACATTATGACTTTATTACAAATAAAAAATTGGAGGGCAAATGTTCGAAAATTAAAAAAATTATATTGATTTTTCATGAAATGTTCGAAAAAAAGAAAATTATGCTGATATTGAAAATGGATTTTTTAATGTATCTAACTTATATTTGTTTCATTAAGGAACACTTGGTGTCATCACTGACTGTCAGTGATCCACTTATATACTTTTAATCACTATTTTGCCAGGTAATCAGGACTGGTTATTCTCAGGCATAGTCGTAAGTACACTCAACATACCAAACGGTCTCAAACAAAAGGAAAAGGCTGCAGAAAGACTGCTATTCTTGACTATTACAATACGTTTCAGCTTCGTTTTCAGCTTTTAAACGGCCAGAAGAAAAAGGGGGTGGGGTGGGGTGGGGGGTGGGGGTGGGGTATATGTACACGTGGAATATATATCATCTTCTTGTCAGACTGCATTAATAGCAAATGACAACTTTCACGGACACTACAAACACGCCAAGACCAGTCTTCAGTCGTGTGTAAGTCCACGACGTACTGACTGAGTCGTAACCTATTTCGGAACATTAACCATGGATTTTCGGTTTCTTATGCTTTATATGACAACACAACCGATTACATCAATAATCATATTACGAATTCAACATCCTTGATTGATGAGTATACATATATACATATATACTGCAGTATTTCAGTTGAGGAATTTGAATAAATATTTTTTTATCAAGGTCAAAAATTGTTATAATATTTGTCACTGAAACCAAAAGTAAATAAGTAATTTTAAACAGTATAATCAACACTTTCAACACAGTTTTATAACGTATAGGGCATGACGAAAAAATAGCATGGCCCTGAATAGGGATCCTCATCACATAGTGGTTGCTATGTAGAAATCTGAACACATTCATGTACAATAAACAACTATATACAGTTTTACATACGGATCCTACTCACAACTATAGGATGTAATTGTTTGTCGCTCAATGTCATTAAAATCAGATCTTTGTAATCGCTACTGCTGCCGAAACATCTGAGGACATCACATAGCAGATCACTTGAACTTGACCGACCAATGAAATTATTGTAACAAGAAGTCGACATTAGCCAATCAGAGCAGCCTATCTCGAGCTTTGCTACACTTGTTTCAACCTGACTACAGACTACGCTTTCATTCCAAACTACGCTTACAAAAGTTGTTTTAAATCTTAAAGTTGTTTAAAGTTTTAAATTCAAAGTTTAAAAACCAAGCAAACAAAAAATCTGATGATTTTGGCGGAACCAGTAGTATAACCCGTAACTATCGTTTGGAACACCTCGCGTGATTACAAAACATAAGGTTGCATGATAAGAACACACATTCCGACTGTCACTTTCCAGATCTGGTAAGCGACGCTCTGATTGGTCGGATGAAACGTCGCTCTGACGTCACCCGTCATGTCCTCAGATGTTTGTTCCGCGGCAGCGAGCCGGAAGATCTGATTTTAACGAGACCGTTACTCGTTTGAAAACCAATTACACCCTACCACTTGATAACTATACACATCGTTAATATTTACATGTCAGTATAGTCTCATAGGTTGCAATACAAAAATGTGACATTAAACAATTTGCAACAAGAATCACAGGCATTAAATATGCCTCGGGACAGAGACTGTTGGTGAATACAGACCTAAATGTTGAAACGTCAAAGACATTACAGTGCATCAACTAATAAAAATATTTGACAATTGCCTGCTTTGTAAACACCAAGAACCTTGTTCATTTTCAAAAAGCGTCCAAAATTTTGATTAAACCAACATCCCAGTTTAGTCCCTTCTAAAATTTAGTGACCGATCACATTTCGTTGTTCCAATTCCTTGTCTAAACATCAACAACGCACTTTTGTGAGTTACGAAGACCAAAAATTAAAACGAAAACACTGCAGTTACATACGTCACTTAAGAGAGAACTGACGGCATATAGAAGTTGGTTTTTTTTCATAATGTTGCTCATGTTATTGTGTTTATTAAGTCCTACGTTTTTTCGCTCGCCATTGGGTCATTATAGCTACACTGAATGGAACGATGAACTCCAAAGGCACCCCTTAGGCGAAACTAGTACTACGTTGGGCAAAGGTGGAAACTGGACCTTTAATATCAGTTTATACCCTTGCATCAGGAAGATGGGTCCCCAACTACACCTTATAGGAACCAGTGACGTTGATGCAGAACTAGACGCTATGAATTGCTACAAAAACGGGAACTGTTTCTAATGACATTTGATCACTTTCTCTGCTTTGAGTGAAGAAAGGAAAAAGTTTGACACATTGCACAGAGTTTTAGACACAATGTCCGAAAAGAAATGTCACACCTTATGTCAAAGATATGCCAATGGGGTTGTCTTTAGTTGCAAGGATCCTGAACAGCCTGAAGTTCCTGTAGAATGACGGCTTGCTCTTTCGGTATTTCCTGATTTTCTTCTTCTGGTTAATCCTGGCCAGCTTGTCCTCTTCTCCTTGGTCATTTTGTGCCTTCTCCGATCTGTAGCTCGTCTTCCTCACCCTCAGTTCAGCGTATGGTCCGGTGATGTTGTGCTTGCGACCCCTTCGTCGCTTACCCTTCCTGCCCTTCCTGCCCTTCCTCCCTTTCCTGTGCTTCCTCCTCAGTTTATACTCCCTCTTCCTCATCTTCTTCTCCAGTTCCTCCTCATCCGTTTTCGTGCTCAGCTCAAAAGCTTCTCTGGCATCGCTGGCTTTCATCTGTAGTGGTATTGGTGCAGGATGGGGAAGGACTGCCGGCTTCCTCAACGCTGGGTCTGCCGGGACGCTTACAATGGCGTTAGACGTTACCGGGGTTTCCGACGATGCGTTGTGGTGAAGGCAGACACGTTTGCATTCTCCTTCGTTCCGGAAGTTGTTCATGTTGCCGTCGCAGCCGCCGTAGGTAAACCATGAACACTTTCCGGCGTGCACGTTGAAGTACCATCTTCTGAAGCGGGCAACGCATGAACCCGGTGCTGGGGCCAGCTCGCAGACCTTGGATTTCACTGGAACCAGAAATACGGTGAGGAATAAACCATTTTCTATCTGGACAGATCTGTCGTTTTTACCTAAGTCTCTTATGCCCAATTAAATCGATTCTGTAGGATAATTGAGACTGGTTGCTCTCTGGCGCTGACATTGTTAAACATGTTAAAGCCACACATGTTATATTTGGGATTACACTTTCTCATTTTCTCATTTAAGTACAGAATCTAGTAATTTTGTTGGATTGATTCCCACCCGGGATTCGAACCCACACTCTCAAAGTCAGGCACTTAATCGGCAGCACACAAAGTCAGTCATCTAACCTACTCAGCCACCACAGCTTCCTAGAATATGAACTTTACTGAGAAATCCCAAATAGAACGTGTTACATTTTACCACTTTACTAAATTGCATTGTGTATTCATTTAATGTCAATATATATCTGATGATAATAATATCGTATTCAGGATTATTCAACTTATACAGCGACGACTATGTACGTGTGTATAGCTGCATGCACAAGTCCGCATTTGTATTGGTTTAACACTGCTAGTTCACTTAGACACCATGCTGCTGTTTAAGATACACGAGGGGCGGTGGGGTAGCCTAGTGGTTAACGCGTTCGCTCGTCACGCCGAAGGCCCAGGTTCGATTCCCCACATGGGTACAATGTGTGAAGCCCATTTCTGGTGTCCCCGCCGTGATGTTGCTGGAATATTGCTGAAAGCGGCCTATAACCATACTCACTCACTCAGACACACGGCTTGGACACAGCCGACCAGCCTTTATTGTCAACCTTAATGACGAACTTCAGGCAGGGCAACAACAAATAAACTCTTTTAATGTCTTATGGTATGACGCAGCAAATTTCGATTTAATAAAATAATATAAGAGTCCCTTGGACTCTGTCTTACCAATTACCAAAGTAATATCTCAGTGATCCTCCTTTCGTTAATCCATCTATTGGGTTTACCAGATCGATATGCATATTTAAGGATGTCCATACCTTCGATCTTCTGTTGATGCACACAGACAGGGAAGGACATCTTCCTTGGCCAGACCAAGTGCTGTATGGCGCAGACCTTGGAGACTGGGCACACCTTCCTGTACGCCTGGGGGGTGACAAATGTACGGGGTGAGTGGAATTATTATAAACTGTTCAAAGATCTGCCGTCGTTTGAAAAATACCTTCTATTACCTGTCTACGTCTCTCGGCTCATTGTGTCATTTCGGACATCGAACCATCATTTACCAATAGAGACAGGGCGCTGGAAAAAATATACCAAGAATAAACAGAAATTGTAATCTTTGTAATTCACTGGCGATAGCCGACGAGTTCCTCTATTTATTTAAATGTTCGGGTCATTTTGACAACATAAGATTCCAATATATCCCGACTTACAGTATATTGCCGAATCACGGACAAATTAAACTACTGTTTACCTTAGAGGATTATTCACTTGTTAAGAATATTTCAAGATTTATAAGAATTATCAATAATACTATTAAAGATAAACACACTAATATATTCACTGTTACCAAATGATCATAACAATTCATCGTTTATGTTATGACTTTATTTGTACTGTTCCTGTACCACCAATAGTGGTTTGTCGGAATAAAATATATTAAATTGAATTGGTAATATTGAGATGAATAAATGTGTTTAGCATTGAACAATTTGTTCATTTATCAACAAATATCTTTATTAGAAAAAAATGGTCTTAGCAACCCCTGTAAGAGGCGACTAACGGGACATGATGGTAAGGCTCGCTGACTTGGCTGACACATGTCATCGTATCCCATGCTCATGCTGTTGATCACTGGATTGCCTGGTTCAGATTCGATTATTTACAGACCACCGCCATGTAGCTGGGATATTACTGAGTGCGGCGTTAAACAACAAACAAACAAATTTGATCAGTACTGCACAAAGAGACAGGTAAGCCTCGGTGGGTAATACTCACTTTACATAGTCTTTCTGCCTCGACTCCGTAAGAGAACTTCTTCGTTCCAGGATCCAAGGTCATACTGTTGACCTGCGAGGAGAAGGAAATGATTAATAAGGATTTTACAGAAATAAGAATCCAAAGAAAAAAAGAAATGATTCTATGTGTATGTATCATTGATCATCTTCAGTGAGTGAGTGAGTATTGTTTCACCCCGCTTTTAGCAATATTCCAGCAATATTACGGCGAGGGACACCAGACTGACTGACTGACTGAGTTTGGTCTTACGCCGCTTTTAGCAATATTCCAGCTACATCACGGCGGGGGAACACCAGAAATGGGCTTCACACATTGTACCCATGTGGGGATTCGAACCCGGGTCTTCGGCGTGACGAGCGAACGCTTTAACCACTAGGCTACCCAACCGCCCTCATCTTCAGTGTGATGAAAGTAAGAAACTGGATCACCATTTATTCATTTTATCATTTTACCTTTTTATTTATTTCTAATATTTTAAATTGTAGTTTTTAAATGTTACTATTTTTAATTTAGATTATATTTTAGTTTATTCATTTATTGTAACTATATCCTTCATTTCCATTTATTCTGTTTTGTTTCTTCCGTTTTTTTTGGTTGTTGTTTTTGGTTTTGTTTTTCAAGGGTTGTTTTTTGTTTGTATTTTTGGTTTGTTTGGTTTTAGTTTTTGGGGGGGTGTTAGGGTGGAGTGATCCACACATACACATCATGCAGATCATTCATGATTCACGGATTCCATTCCATTGTTTTCCCGCAAACACCATCTTCCAAACAACGGAATTATGAGTACAAGTGTTAGAAACGACCTCAGAGCGATATCGCTTAAACACATTCAGGCCTACAGCTTGAGTCTGTGATCTCATACTCTCGGAATCCTTGAGGTCATCCCAACACGTGGAAATACCGTTGAGGTTATGATATCGCTATTTCCTCTTATTTCACAATCGTGGAAGCGTTTTGCGGGTAATTAAGATAACAATGCGATACCGTCGATGCACGCAGGGCACTGTTGGGTGTGTGGTACCCCATGTAGTCCAACAAGGTCACCTGGGTCTAGGAAGGTTACATCGTTGTAGTCTGGATACGTGCAATGTTTCCCTAGATACCAGCAATGTGATGGCAACGGTGAATACCGAGGAAGATAAATACAACGTTCGATGTATTGTCATATAAGGTAGGGCATTCCATGACCAGGACATCGCAAATGTGAGTGAGTGTGGTTTTACACCGCATTCAGCAATAAACCAGCAATATCGCAGCGAGGTTGAACAAATAAGGTTTCACGATGTTGGGAATCGAACCCCTACCCACCGGCGAGACGAGCGAACGTTTTAACGAAAGGGCTAACCAACCGCCACACAAATACATGTATTCAATAAATCTGGAAACAAATGTATTTTTCCTGTCAAATAAAGACGAAAAAATTCTCGTCAAGTTAAAGCATATTCGACTGATGATTTCTACTTCGTTTTGGGCAAATAAGATAGGCGTGGGTGATGCCTAGTGGTTAAAGCGTTCGCTCGTAACGCCGAATACCCGGGTTCCATTCTCCATACGTGTGCAATGTGTGAAGCCCATGTCGTCTGTTAGGGATTCACTAATCAAACTTCTTTACGGGATCAGGGACCTTACGGGATCATGGACAGAATATTTCATTCTATCACTCCCGATGTATAAAAGCATATTCTGTCCTAACGATCTCCTCTGTCCTAACGATCTGCTCTGTCCTAACGATCCGCTCTGTCCTAACGATCTGCTCTGTCCTAACGATCTACGCTGTCCTAACTATCCGCTCTGTCCTAACGATCCGCTCTGTCCTAACGACCCCCTCTGTCCTAACGATCTGCTCTGTCCTAATAATCCGCTCTGTCCTAACGATCTCCTCTGTCCTAACGATCCGCTCTGTCCTAACGATCCGCTCTGTCCTAACGACCCCCTCTGTCCTAACGATCCGTTCTGTCCTAACGACCCCCTCTGTCCTAACGATCCGCTCTGTCCTAACGATCTGCTCTGTCCTAACTATCCGCTCTGTCCTAACGATCTGCTCTGTCCTAACGATCTGCTCTGTCCTAACTATCCGCTCTGTCCTAACGATCTGCTCTGTCCTAACGATCCCCTCTGTCCTAACGATCCGCTCTGTCCTAACGATCCGCTATGTCCTAACGAACCCCACCGCTCACACATACTGGACAAAATAAGTTAGGGATATTGGTATTTTTATGATTGATGTTTTATCAGTGTGTCAATGAATAAATAGATCATTATTCATAATTTCAAAATTTACGTATATCCCTAACTATTTTTGTCCAGTATATGTGTCAAAATGACATCATTACACCTTAAAGTACAACGGAGTCTTTCACAAGCTAATACCAGTCAAGTTTGTATAAGAAGGGATTGTTGACAAATAATTATATATTATTGTTTATTGATTATTATACATTCATGATAATAAAAACCTTTTCCATGTTTTTATGCCTTTATTTATTCAGTGTACAGTCAAACCCCATTGTGTCGAATTTCAAGGGACCAAGGGAACAGTTCGACTTTTCCGAGTGTTCAACACATCCGTCAGCATAGAAATAATGATAAATATAAGGAAATCGGTAGGGACCGAGAGGTGAGTTCGACAGTATATATAATGTCTTTGGACCCGTGAAGGTCCGGGTTCGAATGTGTCTTCAGTAACCCATGCTTGTCGTAAGAAGCGACTAACGGGATCGGATGGTCAGGCTCGCTGACAGGGTTGACTCATGTCATTGTATCCCAATTGCGTAGGTCGATGCTCATGCTGTTGATCACTGAATTGTCTAGTACTTATTTACAGACCGTCGCCATATAGCTGGAATATTGCTGAGTGCGGCGTAAAACTAAACTCACTCACTCACTCACAAACGTGCGTTACTGTATTTCAAATGAATTCATGTTCGTGTCCTTCACAGAGGTAAAGCAGTGCAGGATTTTTTTAATTACCCGAAATAAGTTACAAATACCAGTTCCAGGAAAGGGGAGCAATAAAACCACGCCCTTAGTTCTCCTCCCCCTTCCTTCCAGTGCTTGGATTGATTACAGTCTGCACCGGATTACCTCCCCTTGTGTTTTATCATTTCTCCCGTCCTCCAGAAACAGATCGTGTGGGGTATTTATACACCCAAGGTCAAGTAGCATTGCGTTTCAGTCATCCTTATCGTGTGGTATTAACACTTAAACGTTGGAGAATACATATTAATGAGTTGTATTGCCCTTATTACTTCCGTTCTCTCTGAAGGTGAATGTCATTGATTTGGGTTGGGTATGAGTAGACAGCGGGAGCACTTTGCTTTGTATAACACGTCCTTAAGATTCTGAGTGAAAAAACGCATGATTTAAATATTAACGTTTTATGTGGAGACGAAGAAATGCAAAATTAAACAATTGCAACTCAAGCTACAAGAATCCGCCTCAGTGACAAAATGGTGTCCCAAGCAATTTCCTTTTATTGGCGACCCGTGAAGGTCCGGGTTAGAATGAGCCTTCAGTAAGTAACCCATGCTTGTCGCTGGAGGCGACTAACGGGATCGGGTGGTCAGGCTCGCTGACTTTGTTGACACATGTCATCGTATCCCAATTGCGCAGATCGAAGCTCATGCTGTTGATCACTGGATTGTCTACTTCAGACTCGATTATTTACAGACCGCCGCCATATAGCTGGAATATTGCTGAGTGCGGCGTAAAACTAAACTCACTCACTCACTCCTTTTATTGGCTTTTACTGTATGTTCCCAGTATTTTTCAGCAGGACAGTTGATTTGCCTTTGTGTGTGTTTGTGACGAACGCCAACTTTGGGGGAGGGTGAGTTCTCTTTGTCGCGAACGCACGTATCATCACTTCTTGAAAGTGGTTCATAAGCACATGCAGAATTGTGCAGTGGACTACGAATAAGGGGCGGTGGGGTAGCCTAGTGGTTAACGCGTTCCCTCCTCACGCCGAAGACCCGGGTTCGATTCCCCACATGGGTGCAATGTGTGAAGCCCATTTCTGGTGTCCCCGCCGTAATATTGCTTGAATATTGCTAAAAGCGGCGTAAATCCAAACTCACTCACTACAATTATGGAAAGGGTCTCTGATACGTTACTATCCACAGTAACCTATTTTGGTCGTAAAATAGTACTATACTGACGTTCATAAGAAAGTACACACCTGGTGTTTTGGGACTATTTCCATTAAAACCATAAATATTTCGCTAGCAATGTTGTAATTGGGTACAATATCTGGTGTTTTGGAAACACTTGCACAATGTTTGTGACAAGGCAGAATCAAAACACTTTTTAAAATATTAATGCTGTTTTAAAGAAAACATTTTACCAAAGAATCAGGTGACTGTGTACTTTCTTCTGAACGTCAGTTTATATGGACTTGGTGTGTTACATACAATCGTGACCGGTCGACTATGCTCATGCTGTCAATCACCGGTTAGTCAGAACCAGAATATTTCAAGGGCCGAGATGAAACAACTGGAATATTTCTGGCAGCGGTGTTAAACAGCAGACATACAAACAAACAACCTTAACCTCTGAAAGAACTTAACACACCAGTTAGACGATGCCTCGACAAACGATAAACTTAATCTAGCATTCCCGTCAATGTAAGCTGAAGGAGTGTTTTGATGACGTTCCATCGAACGCTAATGAGGGTGCGCTTAGCGACGTGCAAGGCATTAAAGGGTACGCGATACTATGGTGTTACCTGTGCAGAGCTCGTGTTTGAAAAGGATGGTGCACCGCCAGTCGGATGCAAGATTGTGTGAATGGATTCAAGTGGGCTCCGAAAGAATTCCGCATTCCGTTAGAGTCGCGACATCTATCTCGCCATACTCGCGGTAAACATGGGTAAACAGCATGCGAAACGGTGCACCTTTTTATGTCCAAAGTACAGATTCTGAAGCACGTAAATATCATCGTATGAAAGAGCACACCTGGCTGTGTTCAAATGCAGTTTGTTTGATACTTGACAAGGATCTGTTTTGTGACAAATATTTTGAATTATATTTTTGGTTGAAGGTATTTGAACCTGC